AACAATAATAAACAATAATAATAATAATAATATAATAAATAACATTAATAATAATAATAATAATAATAATAATAATATTAAATAAACAAAATAAATAATAAATAAATAAATAATACAAATAAATAAATAATAAAAAAAAAATATATGATATAGGTATAGGTTAATATTCATATACTACAATATAAACGAAAAATTGTCGTTTGCCCATTAAAATAAAACATAAAGAAATGCCGAAAGCTTTGTTTTTTAAACAATAAAATTCAACAAAATAAAATAAGTAAAATGAAAGAATAGGGAAAAAACACTTACATAAAAAACAATAAGAATAATAATCATATAAAAATGATATATGTATAATACTCACATCCAACAACATGGCCACTTTGCAACAAAACTAATTCAAGTATAATAAACAAAATACAATATAGATACAACATTTAGCCATCACCAAACTTAATAAAACAAAGAAAAACATACACACACCGTCTATGTGAACGAAAATACAAAAACAGCAACGTCTAAACAAAGATGAAATAAAACACAGACACAATACGAAAGGAGCAATAAACCGTATTTATTGTTCCGTCTTCATTGCCAACGTAACATTTCATACCAACATAATCTGCATATAAATGAAACCCTTGATGCTAAATTAGCTTATCCATCTCCTTCTCCTTTCCTTCTTCTTTCTTTTTTCCTTCCTCCTTCCTCCTCGTTTTCTTCTTCTTCTTCTCGTCCTACTCCCCTTTCTTCTATTTTCTTTTACTTCTCTTCCTTGTTCTCTTCCCCTTCTCCTTCTCCTCCTCCTTCTTCTCTTATTATTTATTATTATTATTATTATTATTATTCATTCATCATTATCATTTTTATTATCTCATTTTATTCCCTTCTTTCCCCTCCTCTTCCTCCTCTCCTCCTTCCTCTTCCTCTTCTCTTCCTCCTCCTCCTCCGTTTATTCCTCTTAATCTACTTCTTAACCTTAAACCTTTACACTAAGAACACTAAGCACAAACGCAGTCGTGTGGAAGGACGAGCTGCCCGATATAATATATAATGCAAATAGCTGCAAGTTTTGTGTGTTCTGCTTGCGCTTCCTTGTTAACCGGATCTTGAGTTTTTTTTTAATTTCTAGGCACTAAACATGAAGAAAAAAAATATTTAGAAGTGTATGAGTTCGAAATTCGCAAAATAATAATAAATAATAATAGATAAATAATAATAATAATAATAATAATAATAGATAATAAATAAATAAGCAAATGAATAAGTAAGTGATATAAAAATGCCTACGAGTGTATATCAATTTCGAGTCAGAGCTAAAAAATCACCAGCGTATAAATAAGTGCAAATAAATAGATTTAATTGTGAAAATATTACACAGTCATATCACAGTATCAATCGACACACGAGATCGGAAATAATAGTTGTTTTTCATGATTATAAGAATGATAAGAACAACAACAATAATAACAATAGAGACAACAATAATAATAGTGATTAATAATAATAATAACAATAATAATCATTATCATTTATATATAACAATAACAAAATAATAAAATATAATCCAAAAGTTAATAACAACAAATCAATAAACAGACAAATCAACTAACCAACAAAATACAAATGAAAAAAAAAATGCATAAGCAACACGCGACGCACTAAAAGGGGAAAAAACCGACCTAACCGACGTTAAGCGGAAGTATGGTCTCCAGAGTTCCAAAGAAAAAAAAAAAGAGGGATGGATAGAGAGAGAGAGAGACAGGTGGATAAAAGGAAGGAATGGACACGGTGCACCGAGCTGGATTTCGCACCACGGGAGAGGGTGGGGTCAGGGCAGGGGAGGGGGGCCGAGAACACCAGCATCCGAGAGCGAATTTTCGTTCTATTTCCGTATTGTTCGAAAAGGAATCGATCACAGGCCATTGTGTTATTGAGACACGCGGACAAGATACGGTGTATGGAAGGCATAAGACTTAATGAAGAACTTTGAAGGTGTTCTTGATAAATGGTGCTGCGATTCTTAGTTTGTTATGGTGTAGATTCTACCGTTTAGTGTAGGCCTATGGTTCAGTTCATTTGGGCTTGATGATTAATATGGATATTTCGGTTTAATTAAAATTACGTGTAACGCGGCTGAATTTATAACAATGAAATTTCCATTTACGTTATAATGCACTAAAGCTTATTTTAACATGAATGTGTAACAAAGAGACTTTTATTCTGCCATAAAATGTAAAACGGAGCTAATTTGATTTTACAGTATAATATATATTACATACTTCCATCATACCAAACAAAAAATAAAAAATAAAATGCTGAGTTTTTTTCCGTAGAGACTTCAGTATTACAATATTACATACGTATAACCACATTCTGCTAAAACCGCTAAGACATTGTTCACTATTCATTTACACTTTTTCCCCGATTTATATCCTCTGTTCAGATTTCATGACTTGTAGTAGTCTGTTACCTCCCCTTACAAACCCTCAGAATCTTGCTGCATAAAAAGAAAAAGAAAAGGGAAAGAAAAAGAAAAAGAAAAAAATATATATGTACACACACACACACACACACACACACACACACACACACACACACACACACACACTACCATTGCCCATACAAGGCTATGAACATATCAAAACAATCTTCCTCGAGATTATAAACACACAGGCACGCAATCACACCCAAAAATAAACACTTTCACGGCCTGTCTCAACGAGCCCCATTGACAACGCGCCCATCACGAGAGCGGCGGAAAGTGAGCAAATTCGCCGCATAAATTGAACTCTCAAGGTTGTCCGGTGTGCAAATCCGAATATTCGCAAAAACTACTTTCAGTCATCGGGACTTGTCAAAAAAGGCAAAAAAGGCAGCGACTCGTCAAGCTTATTGATCGCGGACACTTTTATTTTTTTTTTTTTTTTTTTTTTTAACAAAGTAAGAAATCTTTTATTTTTGTGTAGTGTGTAGTTTATATCTATATTTACATCGAAGTCTGTAACTACATTATAACTTATCTGTCTGTCTGTTTCTCTCTCGCATTATATTATCTGTCTGTCTCTCGTTTCTATCTGTCTGTCTGTCTCCTATCGCTTCTCTATGTCTGTTTCTCTCTCGCACTTCATTGTATCATATATCTATCGATCTTCTACCTATCTATATCTACTATCCATGAAACTATCTCTCATCCATCTATTTATCTACCTATCAAGCACCTCTCATCTACTATCAAGCTATCTCTCATCTATCATCAACCATCTATCCATCTCTATCAATCAATCTATATATGTATATTCATATATGCAAAGGAAAGAAGAAGTTAGGAGCACAGCCGAGAGTGAGAGAACGGGAAGGAAGCAACAAGCGATGAGAATGAGCGAGAGAAAAAGACAGACGAAGACGCAGGAGGGAGGAGGCGAGGCTGGAGAACACGCCCCCTTCCCCTTCCCCCCCTTCTCCTTTCTTTCTTACCCCCCTCTCTTCCCACCTCCCCCCCCTTTCCTTTCCTCTACCGCCCCTTACGCCCCTTTCCCTTCCCCGCCCCCCCTTCTCCTCTTACTTTCCCTCCCCCCTTCCCCCCCCTTGCCCCCTTCCCTCTTCCCCTCTTGCCCTCCCCCCCTTCTCCCCTTCTCACGTGCCCACCGGTGTTTTTTCTTTTTTTTTCTCTCTCTCTCTTTCTTTTTGTATACCACCACGTGGAGACCAAGCATGCGCCTGCCATAGAAACTCATTATCGCGTTTTATGGAAAAACGCTGTTACATTCCGGAGAGGGCGAGCTGCGCTTGTAGGCCCCCCCTTCTCCCCCCTGCCCACATCCCCTTCTTTTTCTCTCCCCCTCTCTCTCCTCCCCTTTCTTCTCTTCTTCTCTCTCCTCTCTCCTTCCTCTCCCTCTCCCTCTTTCTCTCTCTCTCTCTCTCTTCTCTCTCTCTCTCGGTCTCTCTCCCTCTCTCTCTCTCTCTCCTCTCTCTCTCTCTCTCCTCTCTCTTCTCTCTCTCTCTCTCTCTCTCTCTCTCTCTCTTCCCCCCTCCCTCTCCCTCTTCTGTGTATGTTATGTTATATGTATATATATATATATATGTATGTATGTATGTATATATATAACAATCTATATGTATGTATAAATGCATGTGGTGTGTGTGTGTGTGTGTGTGTGTGTGTGTGTGTGTTGTGTGTGTGTGTGTGTTGTGTGCGTGTGCGCGTGCGCGCAGTGTAGTAATGTGCGTTGTATAAGTATATGTAAAACACATATACAACACACATATATAACATATATATATATATAATATATATATATATATATATATATATATATATATATACACATATATTACATAACATATATATGCATATTTATAATATGTATGTGTGAATAATTATATTATATATATATATATATATATATATATATATATATATATATATATATATGAGATATATACTGTATATACATATATGTATGTAATATATACATATACATATATATATATACATATATATATACATATATATATATATATATATATAATATATATAATATATAATATATTATTATATAAATATATTATATATACCATATTATATATATAATATATATAATATATATATATATATAATTATAATATAATATATATATATATATATATATATATATTATATATATATATATATATATATATATATATATATATTAGTGTGTGTGTGTGTGTGTGTGTGTGTGTGTGTGTGTGTGTGTGTGTGTGTGTGTGTGTGTGTGTGTGTGTGTGTGTGTGTGTGAATATATATAATATATTATATATATATATATATATATTATATACATATATATATATATATATAGATATATATATATTCATATATACCATGCTTCCCCTTCTATCTACCAATAAATTTATCCATATCAGTTTCCAAACTAAACTCCTCATCGCCACCCACGGCCTCCCCGCGCGGCGCCCACCCCCCACCCCGCCCACCCGCCCGCGCCGCCCTGACCTACCTTGCTCGCAGCGTGTGGCTGAAGGGCCCGCGGAGAGAAGACACAATCATGGCTGTTGGTATTATCCCGGCGGAGATGTCTTCATCAGAGCAGCATACTAATGCTGTCGTATCACTGTCACAGGGATTTTGATTCGGGCCGTTGCCAGGTTGGGTATTTTATTTTATCTCTTTATCTCTGCTTTTATTTTCTCTCGTGGTGTCACCGCCACTGACGATATTCCAGGTCAGGCAGATCGAAAATTTTTCAAAAATAAAACATCAACGGAAATCCCCTGTTGGGATTAATAATTCCACACTTTACACACCAATATATTTTTTTCCTTCTTTGCAAATCACAAAAAAGACACTTGCGAGTATGAAGCACACTCGAAAACCTGGTCACGTGACGCGAACGCACACACGGACGAGCGAGGGGACGGCGCATGCGTACCCTACCGCCGCGGGATCAGCACTGACTGGCGCGCGAACGGAGACTCGCACACAACCCTCGGCCGCCGTTCGCTCTCTCGCATTTAACCTTAAAGTTCCTATCTTTATTCCTGATTTTATTTTACATTTATAGTTTGTATATTTTACTTTATTTCGTATGTTATTTTAAGATTTTAAATGACGTGCGATATTATGTAAATGGAGGGTATGTGTCGAGATGTTTGGTTAAGGTGTCTGACAGGAGCATCAAGTGGTTCCTTCCCTGACGTTTAGGATACACAATACTTAAAAGACAGTATATTACCTGGAATTATGCGTCATTATATACAATTCTATACTATATTCCATCACGGTAATAATGTAATAAGCAAACATACCCTACTGGCCTTAATTTTCCTTAAAATAAACACACGGAGAGCAAGGAAAAAAATAATTTACAAAAATAGTTGAGCGTCCAGACACACCCGGGGCAAGAGTTGCCAGATGTCGCCATTGGTGTTGGGTTGGGGGTGGTTGCTTACGAGTGAAGGAGGTGGTGGAGGCGGGGATAAAGGAGAAGGAGAAGGAGAGGGAGAAAGAGAAAGAGAAGTGGTGGTAGTGGTGATATAAAAAGAAGAGATGGTACTGGTAGTACTGGTAGTAGTAATAGTAGTAGTAGTAGTAGTAGTAGTAGAGTAATAGTAGTAAGTAGTAGTAGTAGTAGTAGTAGTAGTAGTAGTAGTAGTAGTAGTAGTAGTAGTAGTAGTAGTAGTAGGACTAGGGAGTAGTAGAGTAGAGGAGGAGAGTCGAAAAGAAGAAGAGAAAGAGAAGGAGAGAAGAAGAACAGCCAGACCAGAGGAACGGCAAGAACAGGCAGAGTAAGAACAAGAGCAAAAGGAGAAAACGTTGGATGCAGGGGCGAGGGGGGGAGGGGGTAGGAGGGGTAGAGAGGGCCGGCTGCAGTCGCTAACAAAACAGACCTTCATCACTTACTAAATATTATGAAACACAACGACTAGATAATAAATACATCGCTTGCTAACTACAAGCGCTCAGCTGTGCATGCTGTAAAGTTCAAGATAGTCTCAACTTTTTTTTTCTTGTCCTTCTTTTCTTAAAAAAAAAAAAAATCGTGTATTACGTAACGAATGTTGCTTCTTATCCACTCCTTGCCCATTTATAAGACACAGACGCCGCGTCCAAGGAATGCCAACCAAGATTTCATGTTATTTACACCACGTCAAGACACGTTGTTAAACATGACAGCTAAGCCATGGCCGAACGTAATATAACCTTCACAAAACATACTCAAAAAGATGTAATATTTAATATCTGTATGTGAGTGTATATATATATATATATATATATATATATATATTATATATATATATATATATACCGATAGATAAGGATAGACAGACAGATAGATAAAATGAAATAGATTGAAAAAATATAGAGCTAACCTTCATTAAAAAAAAAAGAATAGATAGAATAAGAAGAGAAGGGGGAGAGGGACAGTGGGACAGTAGGGAGAGGGAGGGAGGGAGGGAGGGAGGGAGGGAGGGAGGGAGGGAGGGAAGAGAGAGAGAGAGAGAGAGAGAGAGAGAGAGAGAGAGAGAGAGAGAGAGAGAGAGAGAGAGAAAGAAAGAAAGAAAGAAAGAAAGAAAGAAAGAAAGAAAGAAAGAAAGAAAGACAGACAGACAGACAGAGACAGAGAAAAAAGAGAGAAAGTGAAGTAAATGAGAGACAGAGACAAAAAAAAAAAAAAAAAAAAAAAAAAAAAAAAAAAAAAAAAAAAACAATTCTCGAAACACGATACGGCGACCAGCAGGACATTCCAATCTAATGGTCCCTCGATGTGCTTTCCGAGTAATACTGCTTGGAGAAGTCATGCATTCCTCTCCTCCAGTCTGCTTGCTTGCTTGCCTGCTGGAATGTGTGGCTATAAGGCGTATATAAGGCGGCGGGAATCTCTCTTTTTTAATGTGTAAAATTATTTCCTGTTCGTCTCCAGGAATTGGAAGATTCGTTTCTTCGTCATCAACTTTCCTTACACCATCGCGGGAAGAAGAGGGAATAGGAATGAACGAAAATAGAGAGATAGAGAAAAATAAGGAAATATTAACAGGAATAAACTTTCAAATAGGAATAGGAATGAATGAACAAATAGAGAGATAGAGAAAAAAAGGGAAATATTAATAGGAATAAACCCTCATTTCACTTCCTTCCCCATCCTCACCCCACCCCCACCCCTTCTTCTTCCTCCACGCCCCTCCCCTCTCCTCGAAAACACCTCCCATGATAAGATCCCCATCTAAGGCAGACTGTAATAAAGATCTCTTCTGCGGCGGACATCGTGCACTCCTGCCCTAATAATTGAACATAATCCCTCCCCGACGACCTCTCCTTCCCTCCCCGACCTCTTCCCCTTCCCTCCCCTCCCTCTCCTTCCCTCCCATCCCCTCCCCTTCCTTCCCTTCTCTCTTCTTCCCCTCCCCTTCCTCCCCTTCTCTCTTTTTCCCCTCCCTTCTCCTCCCCTCTCTCCCTTCCCATCCCCTTCTCTCTTCTTCCCTCCCCTCTCCCTCCCTTCCCTCCCCTTCTCCCCTCCCCTCTTCCCTTCCCCTCCCTCCCTCTCCTTCACCCCCATCAACCCCATCTCCCCTTCCCCCTCTCCCTCCCCTCCCCCAGCCTTGAACGACTTGTCTTGGCCAGGCACGTCACAGGGTCAGCGGACCATCCAGTGGAGGGAAAGGAAAAGTGGAGGGCAAGTGGAAGCGTCCATAGTGGGAAAGTGGAAGACAGGGGGTAGCCATCAGTGGAGCAGAGTGGAAAGTAGAGGAAGTGAGCCATCCAGTGGAGCAGAGTGGAAAGAAGAGGGAAGTGGAGCCATCCATGGTGTAGAGTGGAGAGCAGAGGACAAGGAAGTGTAACCGTCCAGTGAAGGAAAGTGGAGAGGGCAAGTGTTAGAGTAAGTGCAACCATCGAATGGAAGAGTGTGGAGGGATGTGGAGCCGTCCATAGGGAAGTGGAAAAGGTAAATTAGGTTAAGCACAGACTGTAGAGAGTGAGTGGAATCGATCAGGTGGAATATGGAGCTTGAAGGGCAAGTATTGGGGTAAGTGGAGCCGTTCAGGTGGAGTAAGGAGCTTGGAGGGCAAGCACTGTGGAATGTAGAGGCTAAAAAGAGCGTGAGGGCAAGTGTCGTGGTAAGTGGAGAGTGGAGTTTAAGTGGAGTCGTTCAAGTGGAAAACAGAGCGTGAGGGGAAAGTGGAGGCTAAGTGAAGCCGGTCACGTGGAAAATGGCGAGTAGAAGGTAGGTGGATTTGTCCATATGGAGACTGGAGCGATGAGGGGAAGTGCTAGGGTAGGAGAGTGGAAGGTAGGTGGTGCTGTCCAGGTGGAGAGTTGACGGTAGGTGGAGCTGTCAAGTGGAGAGGAGGGTAAAGTGAGCTGTCCTGGTGGAGAGTGGTAGGGGAGCTGTCCAAGTGGAGAGAGGAGGGTAAAGTGAGCTGTCCTGGTGGAGAGTGGAGGGTAGGTGGAGCTGTCCAGGTGGAGAGTGGAGGGTGGTCCAGGTGGAGGGTGGAGGGTAGGTGGTGCTGTCCAAGTGGAGAGTGGAGGGTAAAGTGAGCTGTCCAGGTGGAGAGTGACGGTAGGTGGAGCTGTCCAAGTGGAGAGGAGGGTAAAGTGAGCTGTCCAGGTGGAGAGTTGACGGTAGGTGGAGCTGTCCAAGTGGAGAGAGGAGGGTAAAGTGAGCTGTCCTGGTGGAGAGTGGAGTGTAGAACGAGCTGCCCAGGCGGAGAATGGAGGGTGGAACGAGCTGTCCAGGTGGAGAATGGAGGGTGGAATGAGCTGTCCAGGTGGAGAGTGGAGGGCAAGTGGAGCCGCTAATGGTGTGGAGAGGACGTGCTCTGGCGGGTTGTGTCTGGCAGCTGTTGTTTTGCATGGACGGCTATTTCGGGAAAGGCTGGAGCAACGTGGTCTCGTTCCTAAATTATGCGTGATGGGAAATGCAGCCTGCTTGTGCATCTCTCTCTCTTCTCTCTCTCTCTCTCTCTCTCTCTCTCTCTTCTCTCTCTCTTCTCTCTCTCTCTCTCTCTCTCTCTCTCTCTCTCTCTCTCTCTCGGCTCGCTCTTTCTCTTTCTCTTCTTTCTCTCTCTCTCTCTCTCTCTCTCTCTCTCTCTCTCTCTCTCTCTCTCTCTCTCTCTCTCTCTCCTCTCTCTCTCTTCTCTCTCTCTCTCTCTCTCCTCATCATATACCACATAAATATATATACACACTACATACATATATGCATATATTTTTTTTGATATTCCACTATGCCTTCTTAGCCCCCCCTTTCCTTAAAAACTCCCTACAAGTCTCTCAGCCCTACCCTTCCTTAAAATACCCCCCCTCCCCTCTCCTAAAATACCCCCCCCCTTCCTCAAGCCTCCCAACTCCTCCCCCCCCTCCTTAAAAGTACCCCTCCCACACCTCCCACTCCCTTCTCCTACCCCCCCCCCGCACCTACAAGTCTTCCATCCCCACTCCTGAAATACTCCCCCCCCCCATGCCTCCACCCTCTCCCCATCCCGTCCCCCTCTCCTCCTAAAATACTTCCCCCCACGCACCCCCCCCCATCTCCCATCCCGCCCCCCTCTCCTCCTAAAATACTCCCCCCTCACGCCTCCCCCCTCTCCCCTCTTCTCCTAAAATACTTCCCCCACGCACCCCCCATCCCCACCCCCATTCCGGGCCCTCACGTTCGTTCAACACACGTTCACTCACGATTGTTCACGTCCACATGTTCAATCAGACTATGATAGCCACGATAATCGGGCTCTGGCGCACAAAGAGGGAGAGAGAAGGAGAAGAAAGGAAGGAAGAGAGGAATAAGAGAGACCGAAAAGGAAGAGAGATAGAGAAATAGAGGGGGGAAGGAGAAAGAGAGGGCAGATAGGAGAGAGAAAGAGAAGGAGAAACTGTGAAGAGAGAAAGAGAAAGAGAAAACGGACACATAAAACATCCGAAAGAACAAGCGAACGTCGAAAAAACAAACTAACGAACGAACAAATAAAAGCAAACAAACGAAAAAATAAAAAAAACGAACAAATAAAAGCAAAAACAAACGAAAAAACGAACACAAACAACCGAACGAGCGAACGACCGATCGAACACAGCCTCGTACCCCCCCCCCCTCCCCCCCGCGTGAGTCTGTGACCCGCCTGGAAAATTCCTCTCACTTGTTCCGGGTCACGTGTTTTTGTTGCTGCCTACCTGTCCGTAAGTCAAGTATTTCTCTTTATTTCTATCATCCCTTCTATTAAACATTACTAAATCAAAACAAACATTTAAACATAATTAACCTGAGTTTAATTACCTGTCCATAATCGTGTGTTTCTGTTGAATTTTCAGTTACTCAAATAAAACTGCACATCTGACACTAAATATATCCTAATATAATTAATATTGAGTTTAATACATCATAATATCATTAATATTGAGTTTAATTACCTGTGGATAATCGTGCATTTCTGTTTATCGTATCAGTTATTCGATTAAATTACAATTAGATTATTAGCTCTGAAAGAACACACTTGCGAGGGAGCGCGTGACGTGAAACCGGATTTAAGTGAATATATATCACTCTAAATATATTCTTTTATATGGTTAATTAAATCTTATTGCTTGTTCGTGGTTTAATGTCTCTTTTAATTTCCATAAGGCTTTTGAATCGACAATACTCGTCTTTCTTTATATATTCAATTAAAGTTATATTACTACGTATGATTTCGGATGATCCTAATGTATATTGTATCAAGACATCAATGTATAAGTCTTTTTAATGTATTTCATGACGTATTTCATCAGGTTTCATCGCTTCTTTGATTCCATGAAGTTCGTGAAAAACACAACATGACCCGTGTGTTCTGTTATGTATTTAATTAAAGTTATATTACCCCGTATGATTTCGGATGATCCTAATGTATATTGTATTAAGACATCAATGTATAAGTCTTTTATAATGTATTTCATGACGTATTTCATCTGGTTTCACTGCCTCTTTGATTCCATGAAGTTCGTGAAAAACACAGCATGACAAGAGTCGGTTCCTCGCCATGAGATCCAGGCGATGTCATGAGCTTGACTTCATGACTGACTTATCTTAACCTTCGTGCACCTTGCAATCCCTCCTTGCAACGTGAGTTAATTAATTTGGGTTATTAAATGGATTAAATTCTCTGCAGTGGAGTGAAGTGTTTATTTTAATTTTGTAAAATTGCTGTAATAATTGCAAAGGAGGAAATGTTATAAAAAAAACAGGAGAGGGTGAATTTGAAATGTAAACATAATATAACCTTCCCCCTTTTGCTTCTTTCATTCTTTCTCTGTCTGTCTGTCTGTCTGTCTGTGTCTGTCTGTCTGTGTCTGTCACCTGTCTGTCTGTCTGTCTGAGTCTGTCTGTCTGCCTCCTCTCCTCTCTTCTCTCTCTCTTCCAGTCTACCCCTCTTCCCCTCTCTCTTCCCACAATCTCTCCATTCTCTCTCTCCTCTTCCCTTTCCCTCTCTTCCTCTCAGCATAAGTAAATTACACACATGAAGCACGTCGCGTATTTTTCATCATAACTAATATAAGCAACTAAAAGTCAAGAGAGAGAGAGAGAGAGGGAGAGGGAGGAGAGGAGAGAGGGAGAGGGAGAGAGAGAGAGAGAGAGAGAGAGAGAGAGAGAGAGAGAGAGAGAGAGGAGGGAGAGAGAGAGAGAGAGAGAGAGAGAGAGAGAGAGAGAGAGAGAGAGAAGAGAGAGAGAGAGAGAGAGAGAGATGGTCACTGTATTGGTTTCGTGTTTCTTTTCAGTTTTTTTAAACTTTTTCTTGCTTGTTTTATTTTTTCCGCTCTTTACTATAAACTCAAAACTGACTCGCTCTCGCTTCTTGATCTCTCTAACTCCCTATCTTCCCCCTTCCTCCGTATCTTCCTCCTTTCGTCCCTTCCTCTCCTCTTCTCCCTCCCTTCTCACCCTCTCTCTCTCCCTCCCTCCCCCCCTCTCCCGTCTCTCTCTCTCTCTCTCTCCTCTCTGTCTCACTCCTTCTTATCTTCCCCCTCTCTCCCTCCTCCCCCTCCCCTCCCTGCCCCTTCCCCTCCCCCTCCTCCCCCTTCCCCCTTCCCCTCTCTCCCCCTTCCCCCTCCTCCCCCTTCTCTCCCCCTCTCCCTTCCCCTCCCTCTCCCTCTCACCTTTCTTCAAGGCGTTGGCTCACACAGTAATTATCTCGAGCGGGCACCGTGATGGCATTACTAATGTTTGATTACTCCTTATTGGGGCCAGCTAAGGACACGGAGGAGGAGGAGGAGGAGGAGGAGGAGGAGGAGGAGGAGGAGGAGGAGGAGAGGAGGAGAGGGAGGGGGAGGAGGAGAGGAGGAGGAGGAGGGAGGTGGGGGAGGAGGAGGAGGAGGAGGAGGAGGAGGAGGAGGAGGAGGAGGAGGAGGAGGTGGGGGAGGAGGAGGAGGAGGAGGAGGTGGGGAGAGAGGAGGAGGAGGTGGGGGGGAGGGGGAGGAGGGGAGGAGGGGAGGTGGGGGAGAGGAGGAGGAGGAGGAGAAGGAATAGGTGGAGGTGGAGGAGGAATAGGTGGAGGTGGAGGTAGAGGAGGAGGAGGAGGAGGAGGAGGAGGAGGAGGAGGAGGAGGAGGAGGAGGAGGAGGAGAGAGGAGGAGGAGGTGGTGGTGGGTGGTGAAGATGGATGAGAAGGGGGGGGAGGAGAGGGAAGAGAAAGATAAGGAGAAGGAAGTGGAGAAGGAGAAGGACAAGACGGAGAAGAATAAGGTAGAAGAGTGAAAAAAAAAATCAGAAAAGAAAGTGAAGAAAAGTGGGGAAACAGAGTAAAGGAGAGTAGGTATAGGAATGAAGAGAAGAAGAGAAGGAGAAGGAGAAACACGAGGAAGAAGAGGAGGAGGTGAAACGGCTTGACACAATTATTTTCTCGGATTAAGACTTGTGGGATAAGTGTGTTTTTAGATGGAAGGAGGGGGGGGGTATG